ACATAATACATTTCAGAACCACATAGAGAAAAATCAAGAGTGCAGCCTGAAAGTAGCTTTGTTCTATTATCAAGAGTTGCAAAGTCATCCCTTATCATTATTGGCACACATATATAACTTCCCCTCCAAATATTAATAATTTCAGTCTTCCCAGACCTCTGCAGTGCAGGCACAATTAATCCCTATTTAACAAGATGGGGAAACTTGTTAATGGCAAACAGCATTAGAAACTGCAGTATGGAAGACAAACAGAAGGAAATACAGCTGTTCTTTAAAAGCCAGACACACATCAACATCAGAATGAAGTTTTAATTTATATCAAACCCATTTTCACAATGGTGATGAACTTCATTATTAACAGAAGTGGTCCAAAACAAAAATAAAACTTTCAGAAGAACAACAGGGCTGGAGACCTATTGAAGAAATGCCGAGCTCCAACCTTACCTATTCTCCCTGCACACACTGTACAATGTACTACCTCTCCCAAAAAGCCTCAGCTCTCGTAACTGGCATGCGAGACAACCATCTCCAGAGTATGGGCTATGGTATCTGCAGAAACAAGAGCTCCCAAGGTAAAGGTAATCTTCCTTTTAGCAAAAATCTACTTTTACACAACAATGATATTCATAGGAAGATTAAGTCAAAGCATATATTCATTGTTTCCATTACAGAGTTAACAGTTCAAACAACACATGAGCATTCCAGCAGCCCTTCTGCTCCCTATTTATGTTCCACCTGCCATTCAATTAACAACTCAAAGTCGCACACCTGTAATGCACCTAACCTCTGGTCCCAACATTAACCTCACATTGCAGGGGTCGGCCAGTGAGCCCAGATAGCAATATCCTGTGGAAGACAAGATGGCAAAGCAGTTAGGTTGGTGTTCTGTATCTAGTAGCTCACACAAACATGCAAACGATGGCAAGGTCTCGTTCTACCAGCACTAGCATCTCTGGTTCATAGCCACTCCCATAATTCTGTAATTGGTATCAATATTTAAAAACAACAGGTTACGAGCTTTTAAATATGTTCAAGTCAGAATACCTATTCACTTAACACAAATCTATTTAAAAATAAAAATCACTATGAAGAGGCTTAATAAATACACATACAGTGGAAGAAATTTTCCTTGCAATGGAAAAGAAACCAAGTGAGATTTGACACTTCTGGAAGTGTTCACTTTTCATTGCATTCAAGCAACTGGTGACCTACCACTACCTGAACATCACAACCCTAAGCACACATATGATCAGAACGACCACAGGCAGGCATTGCAGAGCATCCGGCATCATGTCCTACATCTCCTGCCCTGTGGTGAGACCCTGAGCAGTGCCATCTGCACAGCCTCACAGTTTGTGAAGCAGGGTGGTGGCAGACCTTGTTCTCCTCCCAGCCTGGTGCCCCAGCAGAGTAAAACCACTGAGCAGATGTTGAGCAAGGGTCTCATTTTTATTGCTGTCAGTTCAATTCATTGCAAACACATTCTGATTCACCTTTAAAAAAAATATGTAATTTTTAAAAAGTGCTTAAAGAAACTGTATAAGTAAAGCAGATTGCAAAATATACCACGCTTAAACACACTGATTCAATGTTTTATTTACTGTACTGCAATGAGTCCTCAATACCCATATGTTTCAAAAGTGTGGTCTTTCTTAATGCTTGTTTTTACATTAACACTTCATTTTCTTTTTCTGTTCAATTGACACCACCTACACTTTCCAGGAACATACAAAGGGGGAGAGGATTGCAAATAAACATAAAAGCCACAGAATTAGCACTACAATACTCTTGTAATCATGTACTTAAAAATGCATTAAAAAGATGAGAGCTAGAACTGTAAAGTGCTAAACAAAATTATGGCTCAGGCTTCTCTAGGAAATACAAAATAGACTGAACTTCAATTCACAATAAAATAAGGCTTATTGTGAGAATGAGAAATAAAATCCCCTCTCTCTTTCCTCTTGTCAACTTGAAAATCAAAGACAACATCAAAGTCTTCAGCAGAGAAAAGCAAAAGCTAGTTAAGGAAAGTCATGCAGAAGAAAGCCACCAAAGGCCCTCCAAAACCAAAACAAGTCTGCCCACCTACCCCACCCCTAGCAAAAAAAAAAAAAAAAAATCCCCAAAACGGTGGGAGGAAATCCTATAGCACATCATTCTTCTCTGAAATAATTCATCGTTTTCTATCTTAACCTAGTTATTTTTCTCTATTCCTAGACATGAGTTTCCCTTGCAAATACCTTATTTTCAGCAGAACCAGAGGTTACTCCTCAGTTCTGAACCTCATAATTAGAAAGGGATGCAAGAGATCTTCATGCCAAAACTGAAGGAGCACGATGGAGAAATGTGACTCAAGCTGTTAACTCAGCATTGTGCTGAGCAGCACGCAGCCACCCCTTCGGTTTGGCATTAACATGGGGACCTCTAGCATGAGGTTGCTCCATTTGGTATAGATGTATACTGACTACAGTACGTTCAAGCTCCTACAAACTGTTGTTCCAGCGCTAAAGCTGGAGCTATTTGGCACTTTTTATCGACAGATGAAGGAGTATATGCTCCTGTAAAGCCTCTTTGAACACTATAAGCGTGTGGTTAGGAACTTGGTACAGGTGGCTGAAATGTTAAGAACAAAGACACCAATCATATGATGAATAGGACATTCTGTTATGCTGTCTAGCATCCTGCTGTGCCTTTTCCACATTGGTACACAAAATACTCTCCAAAAACTGAGGTTGCATGAGCACTAGGAAGTAAGTGTGAAAGCTCCTTTGAATATAGAGGCTTTTAAAACAGCCTTTGTCATTCTCAAAGTCTGTGAAATACTAAAATGGAGTCAGAGAGCACAATGTATTTGTACGTATCAAATGTTCTGCAAAGAAGCTGCACCAGCTTTTGTATTCAGGCAATCTTCTGGTTTTATTAAATGTGGATGAAAAACATGTAGCAATAGAAGGAAAAACAACAGTGAAGCCTAAAAATGCTGCACAAAACCCAACAAAAGGACAGCACTGAATATTAACTTCTACCTAATTCAGTTTGTCAAATCCTGGGGATGAAGCAAGTAAGAAACAAACACGAGAGCATCTTTGGGATTTGTTTTCATTTTTTCCTAATCATACTTATAACAATATCACTGCTTATAACACATAAGTTACTTTCCACATCTGATCACAGATCGAAATACTCAAGAATGTGAATTTAGGAGCAATAATTACCTGCTTTGCCCCTATTTTTATTTAATAATTCAGGCATTTGAATCGACCTTGCAGTTCTTCAGAACAAAAACCTGCTGCTCTTAAAAGTAAGAAGCAGCACATACCTTCTTTCTTATACAGACGTTAGTTTAAATTCATAATAATAATCACAGAGCTGATCCCAACACTGATACAACAGGAGGGTGTGAGTTGAGCTGTAATTTAGAGATTGAACAAGACCACCCCTTTCCAGCCATAGGCAGTCAGGGAAAAAAGTCCATCGCTCATGGAAACCAAGAAAGCCAGTCTTTTAAGGATGCTCCATTCAGAATCATTAGAGATTAAATCAAACAAAATGTGCAAAATGACAGAAGCAGAGAGAACTATCACCTTTGCTGTAGTGTATAAAAAGAAGTAGTTAGAGGCTACAGCTGATTTCTTTTTTAAAACTCACCGAGTAATTCCCACTACTGCCGATACAGCAGAAAATAGCCAATTTTAGTTTAAACATAATGAAATCCTTATTCGTAAGGTAACAAAGCTTAACCAAAGACAAGTGATAGGTGCACGTTTTGTAACACACCAAACTGTCCATAAAACTTAAGGAGTGTATTTCCTGTAAAAAAAGCGCGAAGTTTACAAACATCACATCTATTTTATGATGGTGCTACTGAGTTTACTTTGTACTTCATTGATGTGACAAAGTATGTGAAAGGTCTGTAATCCCAGACTGCTGGTTTGGAAGGCAAAGTTAAATCTGCTTTAAAAATCAAGAAACGTTAAGTAAAGACTCAAGAACAACTGTTTCTCTTGACTACTTATGTATTTGTGTCTCAGCATTCCACAAGTCTGTTAGGGTCCCTTATGAAAAAGCTTAATAATATGACTGATAAATTTTGACTTTTCACTATTAAGATAATAATCTTTTATACAGAATATAACCAGAGCATACAGAAGCAGCTCTTCTTTCAGCATGAAGAGAGGGCAAAGACCCCCTGAAACAAAAATTTCTGAATCCCTAGAGAACAAAATTTAGGAACACTGTCTACAAAATGAGAATTTAAAAAAAAAAAGGGGGGGGGAGGGCAAAGAACTGTATTTTTATTTTATTTGGCATATCTGAGCCTAGGACTTCTCAGAACATTGCTTGAGATTCCTCAAGGGAACTGGAAAAGAACTCAGAAGTAAGACTAAAATGACTGTTCCCTGGCTAGTTTATACAGCTACTTAGCTGATGCCAGCATTTAAAGATTAGTTAATTATATATAGTAGTGAAGAAATAACTTCAATCATTAATTGCAGCTGTTTCATGCTCCCCCTCCCTAAAAATACTGAGCAGCTGTGACTCCTCTGAGGAAAAAAAAAAAAAACCCAAACAGTAGAAAAGTTTAAGAGAAGACGACTGAAAGTGGTTATGGTACAAAGCCAGATAAACATGGGACCACCTTGTTTTTATTTTAGAATTTTTGATTAGTGAAAATTGAGAAGTCACTTCACTCCAATTCAGAAAGCAAGCCAGCATCTCCTGCAGATTCTGAATTTCAGACATTTCTACTAGATAGCATTGTTTTCATTCCATAATTAACTATCTAATGCCAAACAAGATCCAGGTTTCCAATTCAACACTCATTATGATTACAAAATTTTGTTGTACAACACCTGAGACACCTCAAAGGTGAGCAAACAAATCTTTCCAGTGCAGCAGTCCAGAACAAATCCACAAGCCGCACCCCTTGCATTTAAAAAAACCAAAAACCCATAAAAAAACCAAAACCACATCAAATGAGGATGCACATACATTTTTTTTTTTCCTTCCTTCCAGTACAGTTCACAGTAGTTCTGGTTCTACCACTTGACTGGGCTTTGCCCTCGTGATTGTTCTGTCTTCACGTAAGAGTCATACAGTTCTCTCAAATGCAAGAACAGTTCCTCCAGGTTGTCCCCTGTCAATGCAGACAATGCAATGACTCGTTCATCTATCTGTTCTTTAAGGAGTGGCAGATTGATCTTGGACTCAGCAAGGTCAATCTTATTCCCAATGACAACACAAGGCCTCTCAGACAATCCTCTTTCATATTGTTCCAGTTCATATTTTAAGTCTTGCAGCTGAATCCATGGCTGAGACACAGAGAGATCCACCACATACAAGAGAAAGCGGCAGCGTTCGATATGCCTTAGGAAGGCCATCCCGAGGCCCCTGTTTTGATGAGCACCTTTTATTAGGCCCGGAATGTCAGCAACTACAATGAGAGAAATTCCACAGTGAATCCAACATATCAAACAAAAAACCAAACCCAGTCTTTTACTGGCCAGTGCAAGTACTTCTAGAATTACATCTCAATGCATCAACATTAAAGCATACCTCATGCAAAGTTTGGCTGCTATTATCTTTTAAAACCCCTAAATTTAGATTATTCCAGTGAAGACAGAATACAGATTGCTAGTTTGATATTAAGGGCACATACAAGTGAATGTAAGATGGGCTTTCAGCATTGTTTTGTCTGAAGTTCTTTAGAACTAGCAAGAATTGTACAGAACTGCTAAACTTCTGCAGCATTTCAAAGAATAACCCAGGTGACATAAATTGCTATCAAGGTACTCACAACATACTACAATTCTTACCTGCTACTTGTTCATAGTCTTGATAGTGTACAATGCCGACGTGGGGATTTAGGGTTGTGAATGGGTAGGCAGCCACTGCTGGCTTTGCATTGGAGATTGCTCTCAAAAGCGATGATTTACCGGCATTGGGAAAGCCCACCTGGAATACAAACGCTTATTAAAGCCACACTTCTAGGTTAATCCCCATAAAAAAGGTAAGCTTTTGCAGATGCAGCAGGGTTCTTACAGCACGAATATAACAGCATTGATTTTGTGTACTTAGTTGTGCAAAGCATCTTGGTTTCCCCTTTTTGTTTTTCCTAAACCCTGTTTTATTAGTATGTATAATTTCTCATGAACTTCAAATAGCTCGAAGACAGAAGGATTCCCTTAACTTTTTTTGTGTCATCTTAAGTATTTACTTTGCTCAGAGCCAAAAGGGTAAGATCTCTTACACTTAAGAGCGCACACTAAATCTGGAACTAACAAAGTCAAATGTCTAATATCTGTAAAAAGAGAAATATAGGGATGAAACAGAAGATGATTTGAACTTTAGCAATTTTTTCTTTTTAAAAAAACCCAAGAAAACAGAAACTAACTGAGAAGAACTCTCCATACTGCACTGTTCACCAGCAGATTCAGGAGACAAAGCCTGCTGTACATCATCCGTGAGTCTGATAATCACTGATGAATCTTGCACATTGCTTTTCCTAGATATAGTTTTGATTTTAGTGAAAGTAGGAGGACATCAAGTAGCAAGACAGTGACAGCTCTGCAAATCACTTTGGACACCGTTCCACCAAGTAACAGCAAGGAAGCATCAAACTGCATATCTAAACAGGCAAGCCAAAAGGCTAACAAAAATGTTATCAAACATTATTTCTTCAGTCAGTCAAGTGTCATCCTACAACAATAAGGAAGTTGAAGAACCACAGCAACACTCACCAATCCTGCATGAGCTGTTGTCTTGAGTTCCAGATGGAGGACCCTTTCCTGACCTGGTTCTCCTGGTGTAAATAATGTTGGAGCTCGGTTTTCATTGGAAAGAAAAAAGCGATTACCTTTCCCTCCAGCTCCTCCATAAGCTGCAACATACTCTTCACCATGTTGAGTGAGGTCAGCCACAACTTTCCCTTCCTCCTTAACCAATGTACCTATAGGAACCTTAAAGTGGAGATGAAAGCGTTACACTAAAGCTCAAAGTCTGCAGCAGAGTGGTCTTCAGCAGATCCTTTACCAGCAGATTTCAGATTTGTTTAAAATCATTCCTCCATCTTCTCAAGCTGGGGAATCCAAACAGAGAAGCGTACTTCATGAGGCTCACTTTCTGTATGCAAACAACACTGTCAGACATTTACACTTCATTAAAATGTTAAAAGGAGGGAAAGAAGGTTATGGTACTGTTATGCAAAGAGGCCTAAGCACAGCAGTGAGCTAAGAAACATATTGTAGGTGTGTACCCAAACAGGCACGTTGAAGAAAAAAACAAGTATGAAAGAAAAAAGTCTGCTCCTATTTAAGAAGTTCTGTGTTGTGATGGCTCTACGCATACGATCCCTAGAAGGAAAGCAAATCAGAACCGTATTTGTTTTGGCCAGATGCATCTTCCAAAGAAGCCTAATTTTTGCAAACAATTTAAAGCAGCTTAATCTGCCTGTGTGCCAACCAGCCCTGCTTCAGCAGAGACAGTACACAAGGCTTCCTGAAAAAACCACACATAAGATTCTCTCACAATAAGGTCATCCAGCTTGAAAATTAGCAATGTTAACACAAAGCTAACACACTAGCATGCAACCTTAATTTACTTACTTTAACATACACATATGCACCATTAGCTCCGTAACAGTTTTTACTTCCTCCTCTCTCTCCATGAAAACCCTGATAGAAGGGGAGGACTGAAGAAAGCGATTTCGTTTGCTGGTCAGCTGTAAAGCAAAACATGCACATTTTAAACACATTGTTTTAGTAGAACAGGCACAGAAGAGCAACCTCTTGGCTGTTCTTTTCCTTTTTGAATATCACATGAATACATATCCTATTCACTGCATCAAAAATAACATACCAGGGAAGACTAATATTAATGTAAGTTATGAAGTTTAACTGCCTTTACTTATCTGCCTAGGTTTATTAACCATGTACTTCATTAAACGGTCATTCCAAAATCAACCATTACAGAATACTCTGGAAAATTCATTTGCTAGATTAGCAGATTGTGCAGCAGGGTGGTGGCAGAAGCAGCTTTATCCATCTTAAGAGTAAAATTTTATCTGATCCCAGCCTTATCATAACATAGGCACCAGCCACTAAAATGTATGCAAAATATCTTGATTTTCAAAATGTTTTACAAAGCTGTCAGTGTCTTTTATGTCTCTGTTACCACAGCTCAGAACAAAACATAAAAAGCAAAGACGTCTTATACAGAAATAACCATTTGAACATTTTTGACATTTACATTTACCATTTCCCACTATACATGCAGTGTTGTATTTGCTGGGGCAGTGGTGTGTTAAGCAATAGGAGAACATGAAACAAAACAGCTTTAGTGAGCTTTACCTTTCAAAATGACATGACCCCCATCACCTCCATTTCCACCATCAGGACCGCCAAATATTTTTCTGGGTTCACTGTAAAAAGAACGGCCTCCTTCTCCTCCATGTCCTCCAACCACACGCACTTTCCGGTGATCCACAAAATAGCGTGTCTGTAACAAGGATGGGTTTTGGATGCTTTAAGTGCAGTTTATCAGAGTCATCTTCCAACAATTTGATTAGATCTCTGCTGTCATTCACAGATCAACTAAATACAGCATACTAAGTATAATATTAAAGAAAAACACATCTAATTCTTCAAGTATTTTTTAAGAACCCCCTTAAAAGTACATGCTTGAGGCTATGTTGATATAATCTAATGCAGCAGCTCAGATACTAAAAGTGCAAAATTCACATTAAGGGAATTAATAACAGGAAGAGTATCCTTTTAATACAGTCATATAATGCTGACAGGTAGCTCAAGAGAGCTACCACACTATAAGCCAAAATCATTCAGTAACTGTGTTCCTACTCATGAAAACAAAAACTGAAAAAGAATTATATACACAAACCTTTTACTTCTTTAAATCAAACTGAAATTTGCCAAAAAAGACACAGTGCATGTGTGGGAGGGATACCTTCATACTGATACATGCTTTCCATACCAGGTGATGAAATTAAGGCAAACTTATAAGAATTAAGAAAAGTATTAAAGACAAAGAATAGAATGTATTTGCAAACAGAATAAGGAGAGGAAATCTTAATATATGTCACAACCAGTTGCTCAGGGGCTAAAACAAAAATATAGCGTAAAGAGAATTCCACATCTTGGCTCTATTTCTGACATTAACTTAATATTTGATTTCTGGCAAATCTATTATGCTGCACTATGTTTCAGGTCTTCTGTCAGCATAATAAGTTTGATGATATTTACCTATGTCCAGGAAGTGGGCTGAAAACCCCAAGGGACAATATTAGAGAAGTACATGCATAGAGGCAGGTGAAATTGTTTATATATGGGGTTGAAAAGAGAAAGCATGACCTTGATTGTGGTAACATACAAATTCTGTCAATTACTAAGGGACTCCACAGTGAGAATGAGCAATAAGGGTCACTTTAATTAAATAGCCCAAACAATACACGATAGAGAGAAAATCTTATTAGTATTACGATACCAAGATAAGGAACTGAAAAACCCCCCTAACTCTTGATAATCAAAGTTATACTATGACCAGTGATTTCTTAAAAAGCCTCTTTTAGAAAAGTATCTGGCACCACCACACGGCGAGTCAGGAAACTATTGCTTTAAATGGGAAGTGACTTACTGATAATTAAAAAATAAGATTTTTCCATAGATGTATAATAAGAAAAAGAATACAAAGAAAAAGCTCTAGGATCCTGCAGTTTCTCTGACATTAAATGCTGACTGTTTGGCAGCTGACTACTATGCAAGACTCCAAAACCAGTGAGAAACAAAACAGTACTGCAGCTTTAAAGCTATGTAAGGCTTTTCGCTTTCTCGACCTATGCAAGAACACTGATCGCCACTACAACCCTACTGAACACCCATCATGTCACCTGGCAGACTTATTTCCTCGCTATTCAGAAAGTTTATCAGATTTTAGAAAAAAATTTCCTCAAATCAGAACTATATATCCTATCACCGTGAGGAGAAAACGTCAGGGAGCAGCTGAGCTGTTTTCTGTCGTGCGCCTGGGCCCTGACCGCCCAGCAAGGTAACTGCATCACAAACCAACAGCTGATTTACTTCAGGACTTACCAGTTTCCTTTCCGAAATCACTCTTTTTTGCCTCAGCCGCCTGTTCTTTGAGCACCTCGCGCAGCTTGTGGAGAAAGTCGGCTGCCGGCCCTCCACCGAGCTGAGAAGGAAGGCCGGCCTCCA